GGATTTCCGGATTTTGGGATTTGGGAATTTCGGGATGTTGGAATTTCGGGATTTCGGGATTTGGGAATTTGGGAATTTCGGGATGTTGGAATTTTGGGAATTCGGGAATTTCGGGATTCGGGAATTTCGGGATGTCGGAATTTCAGGATTTCGGGATTTGGGAATTCGGGAATTCTGGGATTCGGGAATTTCGGGATGTGGGAATTTCAGGATTTCGGGATTCGGGAATTCGGGAATTGCGGGATGTCGGAATTTCGGGATGTGGGAATTTCGGGAATTCGGGAATTGGGGATTCCGGCGCTCCCGCACCGGCTGCTGGAAGTAGAGCTGGTAGTCGAAGTTCGGGATCCTCCGGAGCTGCTCCAGGGGGTCGGAGCCGGGCTGGGCCGGCCGGAACGGCGTGTTCAGGGAGGCCACCGCCCTGGGGGGATCGATTATCGGTTATTGATCGGCTATCAATCGGTATTGATCAACTATTGCCTTTTATCAATGGGTTATCAGGGTTCTGTTATCGGATTTTTATTGGCTGGGCCCGAATGGCGCCTTCAGGGAGGCCACCGCCCTGGGGGGATCAATTATCGGTTATTGATCGGGTATCGATCGGTTATTGATCTATATTGATCGGTTATAGCCTTTTATTCATTGGTTATCAAGGTTCTATTATGGGATTTTTATCGGCTGGGCCTGAACGGCGCCTTCAGGGCAGAACATGGCCCTGATCGGGGATCAATTATCGGTTATTGATTGGGTATCGATCGGTATTGATCAACTATTGCCTTTTATCAATGGGTTATCGGGGTTCTGTTACGGGATTTTTATCAGCTGGGCCGGAACAGCGCTTTCAGGGAGGGACATGGGGATCGAATATCGGTTATTGATCGGTTATTGATTGGTTATTGATCACTATTGATCGGTTATTGATCAGTTATTGCCTTTTATTGATCAGTTATCGGGGTTTATCAATGGGTTATCGGGGTTCTGTTGCGGGATTTTTATTGGCTGGGCCGGAACGGCGCCTTCAGGGAGGGACATGGCCCTGATCGGGGATCAATTATCGGTTATCGATCGGTTATTCATTGGTATTGATCTGTTGTTGATCGGTTATCGATCGATTATTGGTTTTTTATTGATCAGTTATAGGGTTATTTATCAGTTATCGGGTTTCTGTAATGGGATTTTTATCGATCAGGGGATTTCTCAGATGGGATTTTTATTGATCAGGAGATTTTTATTGATCAGGAGATTTCTGTTTTGGGGTTTTTATTCTGGGATTTTTATTGATCAGGGGATTTTTATTCTGGGATTTTTATTGATTTTGGGATTTTTGTGATGGGATTTTTATTGACTTTGGGATTTTTATTGATTAGGGGATTTCTGTAAAGGGAAATTTTATTCTGGGATTTTTATTTATGATGGGATTTCTATTGATTAGGGGATTTTTATTGATCAGGGAATTTCTGTTTTGGGATTTTTATTGTGGGATTTTTATTGATTTGGGGGTTTTTGTGATGGGATTGTTATTGATCAGGGGATTTTTATGATGGGATTTTTATTGATTTCTGGAATTTTTATTAGGGGATTTTAATGGATTTTGGGGTTTTCCACTCCGGGATTTTTATTGATCAGGGGTTTTTGTGATGAGATTTCTATTGATTTTGGGATTTTTATTCTGGGATTTTTATGGATTTTGGCTTTTTTGGGATGGGATTTTTCTTAGGAGATTTTTGTTGGGGCATTTTTATGGATTTGGGGATTTCTGTGTTGGGATTTTTATGGATTTGGGTTTTCTGGGCTGGGATTTTATGGATTTTGGGATTTCTGGGCTGGGATTTTTATTGATTTGGGGTTTTTTAAATGGGATTTTTATGGATTTTGGTTTTTTTTGGGATGGGATTGCTACAGATTTTGGGATTTCTGGGCCGGGATTTTTTACAGATTTTTGGGTTTTTGGGCTGGAATTTTTACGGATTTGGGGGTTTCTGGGCTGGGATTTTTATTGATTTTTGGATTTCTTCCATGGAATTTTAATGGATTTTGGGATTTTTGGACTGGAATTTTTAAGGATTTTGGGATTTCTGGGATGGGATTTTTATGGATTTTGGGGGTTTTTGTTATGGGATCCCTGTCATGAGTTTTTTTATTGATTTTGGGGTTTTTCTGATGGGATTTTTACTGATTTGGGGGGTTTTGAGATAGGATTTTTAGGGATTTGGGGATTTCTGTTACGGGATTTTTATTGATTATGGGATTTTTATTGATTTTTGGTTTTTACACTTTGGGATTTTTATGGATTTTGGGATTTCTGGGATGGGATTGTTACAGATTTTGGGGTTTTTTGGGCCGGGATTTTTACGGATTTGGGGTTTTTTGTTCTGGGATTTTTACGGATTTGGGTTTTTTGGGCTGGGATTTTTACAGATTTGGGTTTTTTTGGCCGGGATTGTTCCGGATTTTGGGATTTCTGGGCTGGGATTTTTACGGATTTGGGATTTTTTGGGCTGTGATTTTTACGGATTTGGGGTTTTTTGTTCTGGGATTTTTACGGATTTGGGTTTTTTGGGTTGGGATTTTTATGGATTTTATTTTTTTTGTTCCGGGATTTTTACGGATTTGGGTTTTTTTGTTCCGGGATTTTAACAGATTTGGGTTTTTTTGTTCTGGAATTTTTACGGATTTGGGTTTTTTTAATCCGGGATTTTTACAGATTTGTTTTTTTTTAATCCGGGATTTTTTCAGATTTGGGTTTTTTTGGGCCGGGATTTTTACGGATTTGGGGTTTTTTCGATCGGGATTTTTATGGATTTGGGTTTTTTTGTTCCGGGATTTTTACGGATTTTGGTTTATTTGGGCCGGGATTGTTCTGGATTTTGGGATTTCTGGGCTGGGATTTGTACGGATTTCGGGTTTTTTTAATCCGGGATTTTTACAGATTTGGTTTTTTTTTAATCCGGGATTTTTACGGATTAGGGTTTTTTGGGTTGGGATTTTTACGGATTTGGGTTTTTTTGGACCGGGATTTTTATGGATTTGGGTTTTTTTGTTCTGGGATTTTTACGGATTTGGGGTTTTTTGGGCCGGGATTTTTACGGATTTGGGGTTTTTTAATCCGGGATTTTTATGGATTTGGGTTTTTTGGGTTGGGATTTTTATGGATTTTGTTTTTTTTGTTCCGGGATTTTTACGGATTTGGGTTTTTTTGGTCTGTGATTTTTACGGATTTGGGTTTATTTGGGCCGGGATTGTTCCGGATTTTGGGATTTCTGGGCTGGGATTTTTACGGATTTCGGGTTTTTTTAATCCGGGATTTTTACAGATTTGGGTTTTTTTAATCCGGGATTTTTACGGATTTGGGTTTTTTGGGTTGGGATTTTTACGGATTTGGGTTTTTTTGTTACGGGATTTTTACTGATTTGGGTTTTTTGGGCCGGGATTTTTATGGATTTGGGTTTTTTTCGGCTGGGATTTTTACGGATTTTGTTTTTTCTGGGCCGGGATTTTTACGGGTTTGGTTTTTTTTGGGCTGGGATTGTTCCATATTTGGGGATTTCTGGGCTGGGATTTTTACGGATTTTTGGTTTTTTTGGGCTGGGATTGTTCCGGATTTTGTTTTTTTTTTGGGCCGGGATTTTTACGGATTTGGGTTTTTTTGGGCTGGGATTTTTACGGATTTTGGGGTTTTTTTAATCCGGGATTTTTACAGATTTGTTTTTTTTTAATCCGGGATTTTTACGGATTTGGGGTTTTTTCGATCGGGATTTTTATGGATTTTGGTTTTTTTGTTCCGGGATTTTTACGGATTTTGGTTTATTTGGGCCGGGATTGTTCTGGATTTTGGGATTTCTGGGCTGGGATTTTTACGGATTTGGGTTTTTTTTGGGCCGGGATTTTTACGGATTTGGGATTTTTTGGGCTGGGATTTTTACGGATTTTGGGGGTTTTTTGGTCCGGGATTTTTACTGATTTGGTTTTATTTGGGCCGAGATTTTTACGGATTTGGGTTTTTTTGGGCCGGGATTGTTCCGGATTTGGGATTTTTTGGGCTGTGATTTTTACGGATTTTGGGTTTTCTGGGCCGGGATTTTTACGGATTTGGGTTTTTTTGGGCTGGGATTTTTACGGATTTGGGTTTTTTGTTCTGGGATTTTTACGGATTTGGGGATTTCTGGGCTGGGATTGTTCCATATTTGGGGATTTCTGGGCTGGGATTTTTACGGATTTTTGTTTTTTTTGGGCTGGGATTGTTCCGGATTTTGGGATTTCTGGGCTGGGATTTTTACAGATTTGGGGTTTTTTTAATCCGGGATTTTTACGGATTTGGGTTTTTTTTTGTTCCGGGATTTTTACAGATTTGTTTTTTTTTTAATCCGGGATTTTTACGGATTTGGGTTTTTTGGGTTGGGATTTTTACGGATTTGGGGTTTTTTGTTCTGGGATTTTTACGGATTTGGGGTTTTTTGGGCCGGGATTTTTACTGATTTGGGTTTTTTGGGTTGGGATTTTTATGGATTTTGTTTTTTTTGTTCCGGGATTTTTACGGATTTGGGTTTTTTTGGTCTGGGATTTTTACGGATTTGGGTTTTTTTGGTCTGGGATTTTTACGGATTTGGGTTTTTTTGGTCTGTGATTTTTACGGATTTGGGTTTTTTTGGTCTGNGATTTTTACGGATTTGGGTTTTTTTGGTCTGTGATTTTTACGGATTTGGGTTTTTTTGGTCTGGGATTTTTACGGATTTGGGGTTTTTTGGGCCGGGATTTTTACGGATTTGGGTTTTTTTGGGTCGGGATTTTTACGGATTTTGTTTTTTTTGGTCTGTGATTTTTACGGATTTTGTTTTTTTTGTTCCGGGATTTTTACGGATTTGGGTTTTTTTGGGCTGTGATTGTTCCGGATTTGGGGTTTTTTTGGGCTGGGATTTTTACTGATTTGGGGTTTTTTTAATCCGGATTTGTGTTCCTCACCGCAGCCGCTCGGGGTAGAAGAGCGCCACGTTCCAGGCCACGGCCCCGCCCCAGTCGTGGCCAATCAGAACGACCTGAGCCAGCCCCTGCGGGGCAGCGACGGAAACCCCGTGGAGACGGACCGGCCCCATCCCAAAATCACCAAAATCACCAAAACCCCAATCCCAAAAATCCCAAAAATCCCAAAACCCCAAAAATCCCAACCCCCAAATTCCCCCAAACCCCCCAAACCACAACCCAAAAATCCCCAAATCCCCCAAATCCCCCAAACCCCCAAAAATCTCCCAAAATCCCAAAAATCCCAACCCTCAGAATCCCCCAAACCCCCAAAGCCCAAATCCCAAAAATCCCTAAATTCCAAAAATCTCACAAAAATCCCCAAACCCCAACCCCAAAATCCCCAAATCCCCAAAATCCCCAAAACCCCCAAAAATCTCCCAAAATCCCAAAAATCCCAAAAATCCCAACCCTCAGAATCCCCCAAACCCCCAAAGCCCAAATCCCAAAAATCCCCAAATTCCACAAATCTCACAAAAATCCCCAATCCCCAACCCCAAAATCCCCAAATCCCCAAAATCCCCAAATCCCCAAAACCCCCAAAAATCTCCCAAAATCCCAAAAACCCCCAAACCCAAAAAATCCCAACCCCCAAATTCCCCCAAACCACAACCCAAAAATCCCCAAATTCCACAAATCTCACAAAAATCCCCAAAATCCCCAAATCCCCAAATCCCCAAAATCCCCCAAAATTCCCAGATGCCAACAATCCCCCAAATCCCAAAAATCCCCCAAATTCCAAAAATCCCCAAATCTCCCCAAATCCCCAAAATTCCCCCAAACCCCAAATCTCAAAAATCCCCAAAAATCTCCCAAAATCCCAAAAATCCCCAAACCCCAAAAATCCCAACCCTCAAATTCCCCCAAATCCCCAATCCCCAACCCAAAAATCCCCAAATTCCACAAATCTCCCAAAACTCTCCAAACCTCAACCCCAAAATCCCCGAATCCCTAAAATCCACAAATTCCCCAAATCTCAACTGAAAAATCTCCAAAATCCCCCAAATATCAAAATTCCTCAAACCCAAAATCCCAAAAATCCCCATATCCCCAAAAATCCCCAAAATACCAATCCCAAAATCCCCAAAATTCTCAAAATCCCCAAATCCCAAAAATCCCCAAAAATCCCCAAAAATCCCCAAAATCCCAAACCCCAAACCTCAAAAAATCCCCCAGATCCTGCAAATCTCCCAAAATCCCCCAAATCTCAAACCCAAAAATCCCAAATCCCAAATTCCCAAACCGCAAATCTCAAACCCCAAACCCCAAATCCCAAACCCCAAAAATCCCAAATCCCAAAAATCCCAAACCCCAAATCCCAAAAATCCCAAATCCCAAAAATCCCAAACCCCAAACCCCAAATCCCAAATCCCAAAAATCCCAAATCCCAAATTCCCAAATCCCAAATTCCCAAAAACCCCAAATCCCAAACCCCAAATCCCAAATCCCAAAAATCCCAAATCCCAAATCCCAAAAATCCCAAAAATCCCAAAAATCCCAAATCCCAAATCCCAAAAATCCCAAACCCCAAATCCCAAAAATCCCAAATCCCAAAAATCCCAAACCCCAAACCCCAAATCCCAAAAATCCAAAATCCCAAATCCCCAAACCCCAAATCCCAAATCCCAATTCCCAAATCCCAAATTCCCAAATCCCAAATTCCCAAATCCCAAACCCCAAATCCCAAATCCCAAATCCCAAATCCCAAACCCCAAATCCCAAATCCCAAATCCTCACCAGTTTATCCAGGAAAGTGATGAAATCCTGGGAGAAGATCGGGAGCGGGATCAGAATCGGGATCAGCGGGATCGGGATCGGTGGATATGGGATCAGGATCATTGGGATCAGGATCAAATTGGGATAATCGGGATCGGGATCAGGTCAGGATCAGATCCCATTGGGATTTGAATCGGATCAGGATCAAATTGGGATCATCGGGATTGGGATCAGATCGGGATCAAATCAGGATCATCGGGATCGGGATCAGATCGGGATCATCGGGATCGAGATCAAATCGGGATCAAATCGGGATCAGCGGGATCGGGATCAAATCGGGATCAAATTGGGATCAGATCGGGATCATCGGGATCGGGATCAAATCGGGATCAAATTGGGATCAGATCGGGATCATTGGGATCGGGATCAAATCGGGATCATTGGGATCAGGATCCCGTTGGGATCGGGATCAGTGGGATCAGGATTAGCGGGATCGGGATCAGATCGGGATCAGGATCAGATCGGGATCATTGGGATCGGGATCAGATTCCGTTGGGATCGGGATCAGTGGGATCAGGATCAGCGGGATCGGGATCAGATCGGGATCGGGATCAGGATCGGATTCCCCTCAGGATCGGGATCATTTGGATCAAGATTAAATCGGGATTGGGATCAAAGGGATCGGGATTGGATCAGGATCATCGGGATCAGATCCCAGCGGGATCAGTGGGATCGGGATCAGATCGGGATCAGGATAAACTTGGGATAATCGGGATCAGGATCAGATCCCATTGGGGTTGGGATCAGTGGGATCAGGATCAGATCGGGATCGGGATCAGTGGGATCAGGATCAGTGGGATCGGAATCAGTGGGATCAGGATCAGTGGGATCGGGATCAGTGGGATCAAATCGGGATCATTGGGATCGGGATCAGATCCTGTTGGGATTGGGATCAGTGGGATCAGGATCAGCGGGATCAGGATCAGATCGGGATTGGGATCAGGATCGGGATCATTTGGATCAAGATTAAATCGGGATTGGGATCAAAGGGATCGGGATTGGATCGGGATCATCGGGATCAGATCCCAGCGGGATCGGTGGGATCAGGATCAGATCGGGATCGGGATCAGGATAAACTTGGGATAATCGGGATCAGGATCAGATCCCGTTGGGGTTGGGATCAGTGGGATCAGGATCAGATCGGGATCGGGATCATCGGGATCAGATCCCGTTGGGATCAGCGGGATCGGGATCCGATTGGGACATAAATCAGCGGGATTGGGATCAGTGGGATCAGGATCAGATCGGGATCATTGGGATCAGATCGGGATCATCGGGATCAGATCGGGATCGGGATCAGATCGGGATCAGATCGGGATCATCGGGATCAGATCGGGATCGGGATCATCGGGATCAGATCGGGATCGGGATCAGATCGGGATCATTGGGATCAGATCCCATCGGGATTGGGATCAGCGGGATTGGGATCATCGGGATCAGATCCGGATCGGGATCAGATCGGGATCATCGGGATCAGATCCCATCGGGATTGGGATCAGCGAGATCGGGATCATCGGGATCAGATCGGGATTGGGATCAGCGGGATTGGGATCATCGGGATCAGGATCAGATCGGGATCAGATCGGGATCAGATCGGGATCATTGGGATCAGCGGGATTGGGATCATCGGGATCAGATCCGGATCGGGATCAGATCGGGATCATCGGGATCGGATCCCGTCGGGATCGGCCCCGACATTCCCGGGATTCCCGACCTGGCAGATCCGCTCCTGGGAATATTCCGACACATCTGCGGGAAATCCGCCCGCGGATTTGTACCCCCATCTCATCCCATGGCTTTTCCCCGATGTTTTCCCCCGGAATTCCCGGAATTCCCAAAATCCCACCCCCATCCCGCAATTCCCAGAATTCCCAAAATCCCACCCCCATCCCGCAATTCCCAGAATTCCCAAATCCAACCCCCATCCCGAAACTCCCGGAATTCCCAAAATCCCACCCCAATCTCGCAATTCCCGGAATTCCCAAAACCCAGCCCACATCCCAGAATTCCCAGAATTCCCCAAATCCCACCCACATCCCAGAATTCCCAAATCCAACCCCCATCCTGGAATTCCCGGAATTCCCAAAATCCCACCCCCATCCCGCAATTCCCGGAATTCCCCAAATCCCACCCACATCCCGGAATTCCCAGAATTCCCAAAATCCCACCCACATCCCGCAATTCCCAGAATTCCCAAAATCCCACCCACATCCCAGAATTACCAGAATTTTTACTTCCTCCCCCTCAAAATTCCCAAGTTTTTCCCCCCAAAATTCCCACTTTTTTCCCCAAAATTCCCCCATTTCCCCCCCAGAACTCTCGTATTTCCCCCCAGAATTCCCATTTTTTCCCCGGAATTCCCATTTTTCCCCAGAATTCCCGTTTTTCCCCCGGAATTCCCATTTTCCCCCCGAAATTCCCCCATTTCCCCCCAGAACTCTCGTATTTCCCCCCAGAATTCCCATTTTTTCCCCGGAATTCCCATTTTTTCCCCGGAATTCCCGTTTTTCCCGTTTTTCCGGGGCTCTGACCGGGCGGTGCCGAGGACTCTCCGAACCCTTTCATGTCGAGCGCCATCGCCCGGAACCCGGCCCCGGCCAGCGCCGGCAGCTGCAAATCCCAAAATTCCCGGAATTCCCGGAATTCCCGGAATTCCCAACAGCCCCGGAATTCCGGGCAGGGCTCGGAACAGCAGGGATCAACTGGGGGCTCTGGGATGGGCTCCGAAGTTCGGGAATTCCGGGATGGAATCGGAATTCCGGGATTTTGGGAATTCCGGGATGGGAAATCTGGGATGGGGACGGGATTTGGGGAATGGGAATTTCAGGGTGGGATTGGGAATTCTGGGAATTTGGGCAATTTTTGGGAAGTCTGGGAGTTTTTTGGGAATTCTGGGAATTTTGGCAATTTTGGGAAGTTTGGAAGTTTGGGAATTTTGGGAATTTTGGGAAGTTTGGGAGTTTGGGAATTTTGGGAATTTTGGGAATTTTGGGAAGTTTGGGAGTTTGGGAATTTTGGGAATTCTGGGAATTTTGGGCAGACCTGGAAGAGCCAGGAGAGCCATGACTCCGGAATGGGGCCGGGATTTGGGGGATTTTTGGGATTTTTTGGTAAATTTGGGATTTTTGGTAAATGTGGGATTTTTTGGGAAGTTCGGGAATTTTGGGAATTTGAGAGTTTTGGGAATTTCGGGAATTTTTGGGAATTTGGGAATTCTGTCTCACCTAGAAGCACCAGGCCAGCCGGAACTCTGGGATGGGGCCGGGATTTTTGGGATGGGGATGGGAATTCCGGGATGGGGCTGGGATTTTGGCATTTTGGGGATTTTGGGGATTTCAGGGATTTTGGGAATTTGGAAATTTCGGGAATTTCGGGAATCCCGTCTCACCTGGAAGCGCCAGGCCAGCCAGGACTCCGGGAATCCGTGGCACAGGACGAGCGCCGGGCCCCGGCCCAGCTCGGCAAAGTGGAAACGCACGCCCGGCTGGGAAAGGCCGGAAAACTCCGGAATTCCCAGCCAGGAAACGGGAAAAGCCCGGGATTCCCGGCCGGAAAACTCCGGAATTCCGCAGGGAAACGGGAAAACCCGGAATTCCCGGCCGGAATTCCGCAGGGAAACGGGAAAAGCCGGAATTCCCGGCCGGAAAACTCCGGAATTCCGCAGGGAAACGGGAAAACCCGGAATTCCCAGCCGGAAAACTCTGGAATTCCGCAGGGAAACGGGAAAACCCGGGATTCCCGGCCGGAAAACTCCGGAATTCCGCAGGGAAACGGGAAAATCTGGGATTCCCGGCCGGAAAACTCCGGGATTCCCAGCCAGGAAACGGGAAAACCCGGAATTCCCGGCTGGAAAACTCCGGAATTCCGCAGGGAAATGGGAAAACCCCGGAATTCCCGGCTGGAAAAGCTCCGGAATTCCCAGCTGGGAAATACTCCAGAATTCCAGGCTGGAAAAGCTCTGGAATTCCGCAGGGAGCTGGAATTCCCGGCCGGAAAAACTCCGGAATTCCCATCTGGAAAAGCTCCAGAATTCCACAGGGAACCGGAATTCCCAGCCGGAAAAGCTCCGGAATTCCCGACCGGGAAAAGCTCCGGAATTCCACCGGGAACGGGAATTCCAGACCGGGAAAAGCTCCGGAATTCCCTGTGCTGGGCTCTGGAATTCCCGAACTCTTTCCAGCCGGGAATTCCAGATCCCGGCTGGAATTCCCCCCAGCCATCCCCAGCCCCTGGCCTGGATTCCCACCATTCCCAAATTCCCGGCTGATCCCAGCCCGGATTCCCAGCGGATCCCGGCCATTCCCAAATTCCCAGCGGATCCCAGCGTGGATTCCCAGCCCGGATTCCCAGCCCGGATTCCCAATGGATCCCAGCCCAGATTCCCAGCGGATCCCGGCCATTCCCAAATTCCCCGTGGATCCCAGTGTGGATTCCCAGCCCGGATTCCCAATGGATCCCAGCCCGGATTCCCAGCCCGGATTCCCAATGGATCCCAGCCCGGATTCCCGTCCTTTCCCAGCTGATCCCAGCCTGATCCCCGGCAGATCCCACCCTGGATTCCTGGCCGATCCCGCCCAGATTCCCAATGGATCCCGGCCTGATTCCTGTCTGATCCCAGTGGATCCCGCCCTGATGCCTGGTGGATTCCAGCAGATCCCAGCCCGGATTCCCAGCCCGGATTCCCAGCCCGGATTCCCAGCCCAATCCCTGGTGGATCCCAGCCGATCTCAGCTGATCCCAGCCCAATTCCAGGTGGATCCCGGCTGATCCTGCCCCGATTCCCAATGGATCCTGGTCAATCCCCTCCTGATTCCCAATGGATCCCGGCTGATCCCGCCCCAGTTCCCGGCTGATCCCGGTTCCCGGCGGATCCCAGTCAATCCCACCCCGGTCCCCAATTCCCAGCGGATCCCAGCAGGTCCCGCCCCAGTCCCCGATCCCCGATGGATCCCAGACGATCCCACCCCAATTCCCGATGGATCCCGGCCGATCCCACCCCAATTCCC